GGTGTTCACCATATTAAAGCTTTTTAAATATAATTATTTCACTCAGCAGTTAACAGAAAAAGCAACTGACACAATACAATAACCACTACTCGTTTACAAAAAAGAAGGAAACCCTCAGCAATGTAGTAACAGAATGAGAACTTCCTAAACCTAAAGAGGGTTTCTACAAAGAATATATATCATGCAAAATAGTTACTTTAAAAAACTGAACGCCTCTCCCCAAAATCAGGAAAAAGGAAAAATGTCTGCTCATGACTTCTATGGAAACCAGAGGTCCCAGTCAGTGCCATATAGCAAGAAAAAGAAAATAATAAAAGGCATTACCCCATGAAAATAGAAGTAAAGCTGTCTTTATTTACAGACATGATCATCTAGGTAGAAAATCTGATGCCATCTACCCCAGAAAATACTACTAAAACTAATAAGTAGTTTAGCGAGATTGCAAGATCCATGACTAATATACAAATAACAATTGAAAATTAAATTTTTAAAAGCCAATATCATTCACAGTAGCATCAAAAAATACGAAATATCTACAGATAATGTGACAAAATGTCTTCTGAGACCTGACTTCTGAGAGTTATGAAACTTTGTCAGAAGAAATTAAGGAAGACTTAAAGAAGTGTGGTCATACACTGTGTTCATTGGTCAGAAGACTCAATATTTAAGAACTCAATTCTCCCTCTATTGAATTCTCAATTCTCTCTCTTTTGAATATAGATTCAATGAAATTCCAATTAAATTCTAAGCAGGCTTCTATTTTGAAATGAACAAACTGATTATAAAATAGAAATAAACAAGACCTAGACATGACCAATTTTTTAACATAACAAAGTTAAAGGACTTACTGAATGATTCCAACACCTACTACAAAGCTATATTCATCAAGCCTATGTGGTATTGGCATTAAAATAGATAAAGGGATAAATGGAACAAACTACAACTTACAGAAATGGATCATGTGTATTAAATTTATATTTTAACAAAAATGAGAAGGCAAATCAAGGGAAAAGTGGGCTTTTCAGCAAATAGTGATGGCATGTTTGGATATCCATATGCAAAAAACTTCATTCTGCATTTCTTTTTCATTCTGTATTTCACACCACATACAAAAATTAATGTAAAATGGACCATGGATTAAATGGGAAACTAAAAACAAAACCTCCTTAACAAAAAGAAAAAAATATCTGATGCCTCAAATTAGGAAAAGATTTCTTATGTACAACAAAAGCATGATCCATAAAAAAATCAGACTGACAAAACTGACTTCACCAAAGATACAAATTAATAAATTAGACTTCATTCAAATTAAGAACCCAGCTTTCAAAAGACAGCGTTATGATAATGAAAAATAAGCATCGAAACAGGAAAAAATTGTAAACTACATACACATTAAAAAATTTTAAAATGAGAATACATAAAGAACTATCAAAACTCAATAAAAAGAAAACAAACAGCTCATTTTTAATGGACAAAGTTTAATATAAACTTAACCCAAGAAGATATGTAGACAGGGATTATCAAGGGGCACAAGAAATCATTGGGAGTATTACACACGTTCTTTGTCTTGATTGGAATGATGGTTTCATAGATGTACACCTATGGCAAAATTTCTCGAATTTGACACTTAAATGTATGTCACTCCACAGTAAAGCTGTTACAAAATATTCTAGCTAAGACTGTCTTTTGTCTTCCTGATGGTACCTGTGTGCTGTATTTCTTCTTCATCCTCTATATTTGATTAGTAATTAATTCCTAACCATTCTAATTTTCCAATCTCTTCCCATCCCCATAGCTATTACCCTAACCCAGTGGTGGCAAACCTATGTGCTGCAGGGGGCTATGTGTATCACTGAAATCTCTAAAAGGTTCACCATCACTGTCTCTCACCTGTATGATTACAGTATACCTCTTTCCAGTCTTCACCAGTCCAATTCATTCTCCACTGTGCAGCCAGAATTGACTACGTGTGTCACTGGCTGCCCAGGAGATATATTTCAAACTCCTTTAAAAATGATTCACCAGACCCTTCCTGATCTGGCCCAGTCACCCTTCCTAGCCACCTATTTGGTGATTCCCCACCAGCCATACTGATCAAACTTGTGCTCTGCTGGATGAAAGCTTGAAGGCAGAGACTAGTCTTAATCTTTACTTCCCCAGGGGATACCAGAGTGCAGGGCCCAGAGTATGTGCCACAAGATGAATAAACCAATGCATAAAGAATTGGTCTGGATGACCTCCTCTGACTCCACATGGATTGATTCTGGATTCTTCCATTATAAAAGGGGGGCAGGTGAGAGGTTAAGTCATCTCTATAGTACATTCTTGCAAGATTATCACTTCAAATCCTCTTGTGCATGGGCCGTTATAACTCTGGCTGAGAGTTTAAGGATAAGACTCAGATTGTTTAAAAAGCCAGCTGGTAATTGACTGATTTGAACTAAATGAAAGGTAAGGGAACGGGACCAAGTTCCAGGAAAACACAAGGTCCACAGCAAATGCTAATACATCCTGGAGGAAAGCCTATTCAACTCCCAGTACATTTCTTAATTTATCCAGAAAGGCACGGCCACCCTCTGGGATGTTCTTTTCTCTCAGCATATGTTTTGGCTTCCCAGGCAAGCCAGGGAGGCTCCAGAGCAATTTTCCCCCTGAGAATGAATCCCAGGCCCTTCTCGGTTTCGGTTCTTTCCCACAAAACATCCTTAATAACAGTCCTTATCATAGGACCTTCCCAGGGCCAGGCCAGAGTCCCTGAGGTCAAGAGCCAGCCTGAGGCCACCAAACAGGAGACTCCCATAAAGTAGTGCAGGAGTCACCTGACTGGAAAACCTGGCTAGTAACTTAGAAGAAAATAATCAGGAGAGACACTTGGTAGGCCACAGAAAAGAGGAGGAAAGCAAGCAAAAACAAAACAAAGCAAGAGCTACCACTTAAATCTGGCCACAGACTAAGACTTTCCCTCTTTCTTAGATTTGGAGTTGAAAAGCATAACCCAGCCCACCATTCTGAATTCACACTTTAAAACTTCCTCTAAGGATGAGTACTCTTTGGGGTCCTGACTGACCCTTTACTCTAGGGACAAAATTGGTTTTAAGATACAAGTGTTTATTCTAGGTAACAGAGACATGGCAAGGGGTATTACAACCCCTAACTTGAAACTATACTACAAAGCTACTGCAATAAAAACAGCATAGTACTGGCAAAGAAACAGACCTGAGGACCAGTGGAACAGATGAGAAAATGCAGAAACAACCCCAGACACATTCAGCCACCTCATCTTTGACAAAGGAGCCAAACTCCTCACTGGAGGAAAGATAGCCTCTTTAATAAATGGTGCTGGAGAAATTGGTTTTCAACTTGACAAAGACCAAAACTAAACCTATATCTCTCACCATGCACTCAACTAAAATCGAAATGGATTAAAGATCTAAATATTAAAACAGAAACACTGAACTGGCTGGAACAGAGGTTAGGTAGAACTCTTGAAGACATTGGGGTAGGAAGAGACTTTATGAACAAAACCTCAGTTGCCTGTGAACTAGCACAAACTATCAACAAGTGGGATCTCTTCTTACTAAAAAGCTTCCGCACAGCAAGAGAAACCACCAGCAGTGTGAAGAGACAACCCACAATGTGGGAAAAAATTTTCACCAGTGGTCCCTCAGACAAAGGTCTACTATCTCGAATCTATAAAGAACTTAAAAAAATCAAACCTCCCAAATTTAAAGACCCAATTCAAAAATGGGCATCTGAAAGGAACAGACATTTCTCACACAAAGAAGTAGAAATACCAAATAAATACATGAAAAAATGTTCAACATCACTGGTCATTTGAGAGATGCAAATGAAAACAACGCTGGGATTCTATAGCACTCCAGAAAGAATGGCTGCTATCCTGAAATCAACCAATAACAAATGCTGGCAAGGCTGTGGGGAAAGAGGAACCCTGTTCCACTGCTGGTGGGAGTGTAGACTGGTGCAAACACTGTGGAAATCAGTATGGAGATACCTCCAAGAACTAGGACTGGAAGTCCCATTTGACCCCGCTATTCCCCTGCTGGGTATCTTCCCCAAAGAATTAAAGGATCACACCACAGTGATATAGGTGCACCCATGCTAAGTGGATGCACATTGAGGTAATACTTTTAAGGGAAATAAATAGGACACACATGTGTAAATACCGAATAGTTTCTCTAGTGTGAGAGACTGAAAGTGTAAATGAGGACTAAAAGGTATAATAGATAAAGTGAAATAGGAAGAAAAGAGGCAAAGGGGAAGAGGAAGTGGGAGGGGTAGGGGAAAGGAAAGAAGGGAATGGAATTAATATGAGAAAATAAAAAAAAGGAAACAAAGTCTATGTAAATAGGGAGGGATGGAGGGGTTGAAGGGAGGGCTGGGAAAGGGGAAAAATAAGAAAAAAAAAAAGATACAAGTGCTTTGGTGGTAAAGAGCCAATGACTAGGAAATTCACCACTGTGCGCCTCGTTGATCCTTTAAGTAGAAAGATAATTAATAAAAATCTAAAGACTCTCTTAGCCTTTCCTCCGCATAAGATCTGTGACCACAAGCTCACCCCCTCTAAAGGGCACCTTGAGCAGCGGAACCCCCTCGGTCACAAGCAGCCCTGGGCTCAAAGGCCAGAGGGCTGCGACGCGGACCGCAGAGGAGCCTGGGGCGGCCCAGAACCGGGTCGGGGAGGCCGGGGGCCGAGGCAGCGTCGGGAGGCAGGGAGGCCGGACGCCTCCTCAGCAGGGGACCACCGAGGAGCTCCCCGAGACTGGGACGGGGCCGGGGCAGAGCGGGGAGCGCAGTGCGCCCCTCCTCCGCGCACGTGGCACAGGATGGTCACTTACGTCCCCTCAGAAGTGACGAGTGACAGGCGCATGGGCAGGAATGCAACACGTGCTCTGATTGGCCATTCCAACAGCGCCTGGGATTGGCCGTCACCGCCCAGGCCCCGCCCAGGCATACCGAGGCTGGGTTCCGGAGTGTCCCCGGCGTGAGAGCCTTGCAAAGCACTCGCCGGGAAGCTGTGCTGCCAGGACACGTGAGTGTGCCTGACCCGTTTTCTGACCTTCCGCTCCTCCACTGTTCACCGAGCGGGAGGATCGCTGCAGGCTGGTGTCAATGATAACAGAACCGCGGAATGCTCCCAGTCCCTGAGGGCTAGCTTTGGGTGGCTGCTGAGGTCTTGGAGAACTCTTCTCAATCTGTAGCCAACCCTCTGAGGAAGGCATGACCTTCTGTAAATCTGCAGGATAGGCCCTTGCCTGAGAGCGGTGTCCTCAGTCCTCACCTTTCCAACAAGCCACATGCTTTGCTTACCCCTGTTCTACAGATGCAGAGTCTGTTTTGGGGACAAACAGTGGCAACCAGAGGGAAAATTCCAACCTGAGCTCCTCCCATCAAAAAGCCAAGCTCCCAGGCAGAGGGAACTTGAGATTTGGCAGATAGCTTAGTAGCCTTAAGTCCAAAAGTCTGGTTACCCTAGAAAAAAGAAAACAGGCCCCAGGGAAAGGAGCGAGCTTCCACAAACACCTGGATTGTGAGAGGTAAGACTTCCCGCTGGTAACAATGATTTTATTGGACTGGGCTTAAGCGCCAGATATGTTAAGACCGTCTGCTATCTGGGAGACAGTCCCCAAATAAACAAGTGCAATGCTTTTGGTGTTACAGGGGAGGCTGACTCAGGCACCACCTCTCCGACCGAAATCCTGCTCTGGGGTCATTTTCTTTCTTCGACATCATGATTTTTCACCTTTTCAATTCTAACAATGATCCAAAGAACTAGCTCCAGGTTCTGCGATCTGTTACTTAGCATAGTGCGAATCCAGTGTACAACAGGGATAATAATATTAAACCCTGGTCATTTCTACGTTCCCCAGCATTATAAAGAGCAAATGAGATAAAAGATGTGAAAATGCTTTGCTAAGTGCGATTACTCATAAGACATTGCTTCCCCATCTTCCTCAGTGTACCCTAGGAATGGAATAAATGGAGTACACTGCCCACTTTATGAACTGTAACAGTGGTGTTCACCTAGGCTAGATGTAAATTAGTGTGGATTTGCTGCCTGGCCTGTACTGTTGGCTTTGTTTCTGTGCTTTTTTATGTATTTGGTTTTTTGGTTTTCTCTGATGTCATCAAGAGCAACAGTAGTCTAGAGGCTGGAGCTTCAGCAGCTATTTTGGACCATGTAAGGATTTCAAGAATAAAAGCCACACATGACAATGCAGTGAGGTGAGAGGACCTGGGTTCCTAACACCACGCACGGCACGCCAGACCAGACCAGCCCCTAACTGCCCATTTCCAGACTTCCACATGAAAGAAAGCACTGTCCTTTTATTCTGTGTTTTCTGTCGCATGGCACCAAGCCTAATCATAACATATTCCTCAGTTCTTGGAACTTGTATGACAACCATATAAAGTGAGCGGATAGGTGCAGAAACAGGTCCACTATCAATGAAACAGCCAAGTGGCCCGGGTGAGAGTCTCACTTGGGTCTCAGGCCAGTTCTCATTCTATAAAGGACTAGATAATAGCGCTGTAGACTTTGTAAGCCATACAGTCTCTTTTGCAACTACTTAATTCTGCTTTGTAAACGCAGCCATAGATAATAGTAAATGAGTGAATATGACTGTTTCGCTTAAACTTTATTCACAAAAGCAGGCAATGGACCCTTAGTTTACCAGCCTCTGATTTATTCTGTCCTGATGTTCCATGGTGAAAGTGCCCTGGAAACACATTACAGAGGTGGAGGGATTGTGACAACCAGCATATTCACACTACTGGCCAACATCAAGGCAAGTGACAGTGTGGTTTGAAAGAAAGTCCCTAATCTGATTTTCATATGATCCAGACTATGAGTTCATATCTGTCATTGCTGAGGTTTGAATGTGTCCCCCCTCCCCTCAAATAAAAGCATGTTTTGGAAACTTAATCCCCAATGCCACAGTTATGGGAGATGCTTTGGCCCTGAGGGACCATGAGGCCTTGAGGTGAATTGGTCCCATCAATGGATTAATGATGGGTGGGTTTGTTATAATAGAGCAAGCCCCCTACATTGCTTCTCCCAGCCTCTCCTCTTCCTCCATGGGTTCATGCAGCAAGAAGCTCCCTCCAGATATTAGTACCTTGATACTTGACTTCCTTGCCTTCAGGACAATGAGAAATTAAGCTCTTTCCTTTATAAGTTACCCAGTCTCTGTTGTTCTGTTATAGTAGCACAAATGGACCTAAGTCACTGAAACCAGATCAATATCCTGAGCTACTTCCTACCCATGGCCTCAGTGTCTCTCTCTCCTACCCTTCTAACAAATATGAATGCAAATGTTATCTATAGTCCCTGATTTCTACAATTACAGGGAGACTAAGAAGAGCTGATTTATGTAATCATACTTTGAAAAGCTATAAATATTATCCAACCATGGGTACATTGCTTCATGTCAGGCTGAGCCATATATCTTCTGTATCCTCCAGTTCTCTGTGCTTCCCCTTATCGTAGAACATAGCAAATCTGCTAAATATCAGTGCATCTATCTCCTTTCCTCTTCCATAACTCCACTTAAAGAGTTATTGCCTCGCATTTAATTATCAGACTCAATTACTGGGAAGTCTAGACATCTTTCGGGGTCACTGCTGGGCAGTGTGGGGATCCTGCCGTGTCATTGTACACTAAGCACACTACAAGTCACACCAGTGAAGCAGCACGTCAGAATTACACAAGACAGAAAGAGCTGGGTTGTGAAAGCCTGGAGCCAGCTGAACTAGAAGCTTGTGTAATTTCCTTCCTGCTCCAGGAGGCAGATTGGCGACCTGGTACTCTCTCTGGTGACCTGTAGAGGCCCTGTGATTCTTTAACCTCATTCTCTGAAAACTTCCACATCAGCCAACTCCCCTCTCACCAGAAAAAAAGGGACATTTTCCCTGAGAGGCCTAGAGTCACAGCACAGAAGTGGATAGCATTATTCATTAATCCATGATTCATGTATTCATCCATGCATTTATGTTTTCATTCACTTAATGAAGATGTATTGAATGCCTACTCTTCCGGCACTAGAGGGCAGGTGCTGAGATGAACAGACTTTGCCCTGTCCTCATGATACCTACAGGCAGGAAATAGACATTAAGGAAGGAAACGCACAAAATGGAAGGAGAGAATTTTCCCACCTTTGTACACACCATGCCTCCTTCCACTGGGCATGCCTCTCTCATCATTCTTCCTTATTGGATTCAAATTCTACCATTGGCTCCTAGTTGAAGATCTTCCTTTGTAAAATTCCCCTTCCACCTGAGACCTCAGTAAGTCTCTTTTCTTCTAGATTCCTGTTGCAATTAACAAATATTACTCACTTGACCAAGAATTTAGGCTACCTTGTCATGTTAACTATCCTTTTTGCTTGCTTACATGACACTTTTACCCTTCTACAGGTAGCACAAGACCATTTGAGTCACACAGGCCTATGTTCTTCTCCCACTTGTTTGATGGGCGAGCTGGAGACATTTCTGAATCCACTTGAACCTTAGTTTGACCTTGGAGAGAGATAATTCTTGACATAATATCTTTAAACATTTGTTCTGGTGCTAAACAAATAGTAAGTGTTCAGTGGTGTGTGCATGTGTGTGTGTGTGTGTGTGTGTGTGTGTGTGTGGCTAGAGATTAGCCTGGGGCCTTTTTATGTTTTATTTTGAGACAGGGTCTCATTAAATTTCCCAGACAGTACTCAGACTTGAGACCCTCATGCCTCAGTCTCCATCGGTGCGGGGTTTACAATGTTCAATACTTCTTTTTCTTCTCCCCATTTCGATTTCTTAGGTTGGAAACCTCAGGAAGGCAAGAACGCTGCCTTCTACCTTGTAATCTCAGCAACTAGCAGTGTGCTCTGAAGTAGCAAGTAGTTAATTAATAGTACATAATTATTGTGATAATCAGCCTTACCTGCTGCTGAGTCCCACATTACTATTCAGATTTGTTTTTTTCTTTTTCTTCTTCTTTTCTTTCTTCCACTAATTAGATTCTTTACAGCTCCCTTAAACTTGATCCTCTGGCAGGACTAAGTGCCAGTGCACTGCACACACTGGCTCTCTCCTAAATCAACACCATCTTATCAGGACGAAAATAGAGACCCAACAGATGATCAAGTGCCCTCCCACCACCACCACCTAAAATCATTGCTTTGTTCAACTTTCCTCTCTAAAGGGTGCAAGTACTTCACTTGCAAAGACCTGGAAGTGCGCCAGCTTACCTTATGACTTGCTTGTCATTTATTACTTGCCATCCTTCTGCCTGCCTGACTTCCTTCATCTCTTCACTCCACAAATATCTACTGAGTACAGAGTATTTCTTGCTAAGTGCTAGGCCAGAGATGAGTGCTATGCTAAAAACACAGATAAGTGCTGTGGGTCACCTGAAGCTGGTGAAAGAAGAGAAAGAAGGTAGGGAATATGAAACGCGAGGAGAGACTGCACTAACTTTGGCTAAGTGCTGAGCTCCAGGCCTTCTGGGTCATTCTTCCCAACCACCCATGTAAGTGGGCAGGGATTATTACTGAAGAAACAGAGGTTTACAAAGTTTGAGCAACTTGCCCAAGGTCATTTGTCACAAGACACTACCAGTCTGAAGAGGGAGGTTTCTGCAGAGAAGCTGAGGTGAGCAGCACATATTGTACATGGAGGCTTCAAATGAATGTAAGTCCTAATAATCCTACTGACTTTGACCTGTAGCACCAATTTTCTCTTCTAGGTTTGAACTGCTGTCCCTCTCCCAAGTCCACATCCTCAACTGGAAACATCTAAATTAGTTCCACACCATCCATATCTTCCTCCCCTGATACCACCTGATCGAAACCCCTCAGCCTCTTCTATGACTCATTTTAATAAAAGTGCAAACTCTGTGATGAGCCATGAGGACGTTATGTGGTGCTAAACCCCAACACTTGTTTTTTGCAATGAAGTAGCAAGTGACAGAAGTAGGTTAAGACCATGACACGATGACAAGGCAGAACTCTGGCTTGGGCTTGTGAAAAGGGAGGAGGTGGGGAAAGGCCTGCTGGAAATACGTGCTCCAGGCCTCTGGGGCTGCACCAAAACAGAAACCAACTGGAGCCCTTGCAACACATAGACTGGGTAATGTTTTTGTCATGAAATCCTCTGGAAACACGTGATTTCCAAATGGTAGTTTTCAGAGTAGCTTCTATGGGAAGGGTCCTGCACAGCAAAGAAAATGCTGAAAGGATTTCTGGGCTTTCCAGAACACCCTACTTTCCTACCAAGTGATTCTCTGTAGCAAGAGACCAGATGATGGGGCCAGGGAGCTGAAATCCAGTTCCCACTCTACTTGCTAAGCCCTGTGTTTGTGAGGCTGCTCTGCCCCTACTTTCTCAAATTTGTACAAAGCACAGAATAGGGTAATACTGCTTTGCCTTCCCCCAGCCCTAACCATTTACACATAGATGTGTCATAGTCACTTTCCCATCCCTGAGACACAATACCCCACACCTGTAACTTAAAGGAAGAATGGTTTCTTTTGACACCGAGGTGGGACAGCATGGCACTGGAAAATGGTGGAGAAGCTGCTCATGTCACGATGGTACAAGAGTGGAGGAAGTCAAGGGAGGAGCCTGGAAGGGAGATATAACCTTCTGTGTCATGTCCACAGTGACCCTCTGCTTCTGACCAGGTCCCCACCTGTGAATAGCAAGTCAGCTGTGATGCCCCTGTAATCCAGTTACCTTCCAAGGGTCATGCCTGTGCTCCCATGAGGCCTTGCAGGGACATCTAAATGTAAACCGAAACACAAACACATAGAGCCATATAAACATATGCACACACATATGCATACGCACATACACATTTTCACAAACATGTACACGAACATACATGCAGATGTATTTGTTTTCCTTTACTATCACAAATAATGGAGGCTTAGTAATTTGTAAGATACTGGCTACGTCACAACATGATAAAGAAGAACAGAGAGAAACAGCTGTGCAAAGAAAAGAGACAAATACATGCATGGTCTTGTTTTCTAACAACCTGCTCCTGAAGATCTAACTCTACGAGTCCAACATTAATCCCCTCTGAAGGTAGCACCTCTAACGACCTCATCACCTCCCACTATGCCCCACCTCATAAGGGCTCCACCATCTCTCAGTATCACCACATAAGGACCATATGAACCCTGGGGCACACACTCAGAGCATGTCCAAATCATAGCAATAGAACATACACACATACACACTAACTCATATTCATCAAGGTACTACACACAATCACAAATACAGACTAAGCCATCATACAGCACACAGAGATGTAGACACAGACACAATTATAGTGACACAAATATGTCCACACACTGACACACAAACACACAAATACAGGCACACCTAAGCACGCACTCACATAATACACATATACCTATACATACATACTTATATAGGTAGTCTCATGCTCACTTGCATATCACATACATAAAAGGAGAAACACATATTTACGTGTAGGCACACATACACTTAGACATAGAGACCACACAGGTACATATATACACAAAAAAGCAGACTTACACACACATATACACAGATACATGTTTAACCAGAAAAATTCTACTTTTATTAATTTTCTATGACAGCTTATGTTAAAAATCTTTATTTAATAAATGTTTCACTAGTAAAGGAGAATGAATTGTTCCTCTTGAAGGTTTATTCTTCACTCTTCAATGAAATCTTGTATGACAATATGTGGGAATAAAATGATAGTGAGCAGTATACTCAGACATGATAATGCTAAGTTTCCCCATGATCTGAGTATTGATAGTTTTGGTTTTAGTTTATATCATGATAAAGAGTTATAATTTAACACTGCTATGTAACATATAAAGCCAGGACTCCATTTTACTATACGTTCTCAAATATTTCTCTATGTCCTATTTCCTTCAATTCCAAAAAAATCTCTGGAGATTTGGAAAATGATATGAGGACTGAGGCAGGGTATATTTTGAAGGATTATATTGGACAAAACTCTTTAGGTTGTAAGAAATAAAAATATAATTCAAACTTGCTTAAACAGGCAGTTTATTGGCTCATAAAATCAGGTAACTCAACAGGAAAGTGAAATTCAGGAAATACTGGATCTGGAGAGTATTATGTCTTCACTTTCTTTTATTCACCATTTTAAGTCTTTTAATTTCTGTATTGACTTCGTACTCAAGTAGGATCACCCTATGTGATAGCAAAGGTGGCAAACAATCACTTTAGCATCCCAATGCCCTTCTAAGTCTTGGTGTGTTATATCCATACGATGGAATACTATTTATTCTTAAAAAGGAATGAAATACTGATACTGCGATGCTCGATATGAACCTCAGAAAGTATGCTGAGTGAAAGGAGCTGGCATAAAAAAATAGAAACCATATGACTATATTTTTGTGAAGTTCTAAACTAACCAAATTTAAAATAATTATGATTAAAAATTATCACCTGACATGAACTTAGGAGGGTGGATAGAGTCAAACTGTGAAGGGACATGGGAAAACTTTCTGGGATAATAGAAAGATTCAAAACCTTTGTAGATGTGTGGGCTACATGAACATATCCATTTATAATTGTACATTTTATGATGTGTAAATTTTACGTCAAATAAAAATCTGTTAGGTGTTAAAGACAAAGAAGGATTGACTCAGTTGGAGGTGCTTGGATAGTGACTGGGGAGAGAACACTGTGGAGCTTCTAGGTAGAATGACAGGAGGATGGAAGGTTGCCAGTGATGTGTGCTCTTCTGAAATAGCTCTTTTCTCACAGATCTCAGAGGAACAGGAAGGACAGGACACAGCACCAAGGCAGACTATTCTGTTCAATGTCCTTGACTAATCTAAGCAGCAACCCTTCTCTGCACTTTATTTTTCCTACCTGTAAGAGGAAAGAATGTAAGATTATACCTTCAAACATTTAAAATCAACTAAAGCCACAAACCTGTTGTGACAAAGCAAGAGATGGAACACAAGATCTGAAACTGTAAAATCCCCACAACTTTCCTAGTACCATATTTCATGTATTCTAAGATGCACTTTTTAAATTCTTTTTAAATTTAGTAATTACTAGCACATATTAATTTTTCATGATAATGGGTTTTATTATGACATTTCTATACATGCAGCCATGTGCTTCTTCCCAAATCCTGTTTTACCCTTTCCCTTGTCCTTTTCCCCTTTCCTAATAGGCCCCCTTTCAACTTCCATTTCTCCTTATTTTTTGCTATATTCCACATATGAAAGAACTAAATGCACACCCTTATCTAACATCTACCATCACCGAAATCAGAGGATGCCCTATGATCAATAACTTGCCATGGTGAAGCAATATCACAGTTGCACTGCCTGCTTGCATGTTCTTGGTTATAATTCCTGTTCAAAATGGCAAGACAACTACTATCATTGATGCTTGAGACAATCAACAACATATGGACCTTTGGAGGAAGAAATGTGAGTTTCATAGGTTGTCTGGGAAACTTTTGCTAGTACCTTGCAGTAAAACCTAAAAAAATAGTACCAAGATCAAAATTTGTGAGTTGGGCTCTTTTCCCTATGAGAATGATCTGTGTCTCTACTTCCTATTATCTATCTTTTGCTTTGCTCTTTACTTTTACTCTGGGTTTCTCATATAAGAGAAACAATGACATATCTAAGTTTGTGTGTCTGATTTTTTTTTCACTTAACATTATGGTCTTAAGGTGCATCCATTTTTCTACAAATGACTGAGAGATGGAGAGAGAAGGGAGAGAAGGAATGGATAAGGGATGAGAAAGAGGAATTGGGATGCATTATCTACATGCACCTACTTCAGACAGGAATGTAAATGTTATGTACTGCAAGCATGTACAAAAAGGGAAGGGGATAATGGGGTAGGTGGAGAACAAAGGGAGGGGAGAGAAAAGGGATGAAAAGATGAATTAAGATGTGTTATATACATGTACCAATTTCCCACAAGGATGTAAACATCATGTACTACACATAATGTACTAATAAACCAAAGAAAATTATAGAAACTTAAATAAATAAAAATTTATGAATTGGTACCAGTGGCTTGACAGAAAGTTCCCAAGACAATAATTAGCATTAGTTTTTTAAATGTTGCATTTCTTCATTCCCTTCATATTCTGGTTCATAATGTGTGGAAAACCGGAGCAACTGAGTTGAAAAGTGCTTCAGGAAAGATGAGCAATTTAGAATGTGAAGAAGTCTTAACAATACCTTAATCAATGTATTTGGCTCCTATTTTCCTTTTTACATGTACACAACAGCAATGTATGATTTAAAATGTATGTCTGAATAAGTGTAAAAGAAATTATTCAGTAATAATACATAGCACCGTGTCTAGCTTAATTGGCAATGCCTTTTCTTTCTAAGAGATATGTAAACAGTTCATCTGGTGGAGTCTTAACTTTAATAAAATATGGCGGTGAAGCCTGATGCTCCCTAGCTCTTTCTTTCTGTTTCCTTAAATGTTTGTGAGAGTACAGATGGAGGTCAGTTCTGAGGGTTTCTGTGGACAGAAGCCATGCTACAGGCTTTCCAAATATTCTCTCCACCAATCTCACACTGGCTTCATGGGGAGGCACCATTACTTTCCCATTTAATGTAGAGCAGACTGAAATGTCTTGCTCAAGTCACATGGATTGTATCAATTCCTCCCTGAAATAGGGGAGAACCACAAAACTGACTTTCTCCAGGTGACATAAACTTTCTAGAATCTGCCAATGAGTGGTCCTATGTCTAGTTCCATGACTTGGGGCCACATGGCAAAGGTACAATGATTTGAAACCTCACTTATACCACAAGAAAGACTAGAAGTATATAACAAAATAAAATCAGAAACTTTGGAGTTGGACCTGGTATGAATCTCATCTCTACTAGTTACTAATTTTGTGATTTTTGGCAAACTACTTAAGCACTCTGAGCTTCAGTTTCTTCCGCTGTAAATGCAATCAGTACTGTCTACCTCAATGAGTTGCATGAGGGCTAAATAGGTCAAGCATTCATTTAATTAACAAACATCCACAGCGTCTACCTCATGCTAGGCACTGTATTATATAAGTGAATGCTACAAATAAGCCTCTAGTAGGCTGCCAGGGACACCGTTTGTGGTTTTGTTATTGTTTTTCTGTACTTACTTCCTCTCATACCAGTGCCTCTTTTTCTTTAGGTGAGTTTCTTCCACCCCATGTCTACAAGACTGCTGTAATCAGATGTCCTGTTCTTTCCTGGACTGAGGGTGAGTGTGAACATTCTCTCTCTGGAATTTCAGTCTTCTGCAGAGTGACAGGGAGACAGAATGCTAGGAGTTCATGCATTCCACCCCTGTCAAAACTCCTCCACCTCAGATGGAAGCTGTCTTGCTTTCTCTCATGTCCATGTCTGACTCCCCAGCCTGGATACCATTTTTTAATTTGTTTTGAGATCATGTTATTACTCCAAAAATTCTCTTTCACACAAGTTAGTCCAAAACAGCTTTTGCCATATGTAACCAAAGAAATCAAATACCCACTAAAAAAAAGCTAACATCTCTTTCCCCAACATGTATGATCTAGTTAAGATAGAAGAGATCCAAAAAGGGTATGTAGAACTTGGAAGTGCTCACTTTGGAGCATACATCTCGAATTCACATTCTGTCCTGTCAGATAGTCTAAATAACAAACCATAGACTTACACTGGCATGGAGAGTCTTGCTCTAAGATAGGCCTGGCACACACTATCTAATGTAAGGCTCAGCAGAACCTGAGTAGTAGGTGGCATTTTCACCCATTTCCTAGATGAGAACATTAAAGTTCAGACAGGTCAAGTAACTTACAAGACCAACTACTTAATCTGCAGGGCCCCATACAAAATAAAAATGAAAGACCCCATGTTAAAAAAAATCACTAAGAATTTCAATAGAGTGATAGCAGAGCATTAGACCAATTTCAGAGTCCTTCAAAGCACACCTTCCCTAAACCTTTACCACAGAGGTCATACCTAAAACTGGCTCTGCTTAAATTAGTAAGTGGCAGAATTGAGACCTGAACCTAGTAGGCTTCTGTAACCAGGAAGTTGATGGTTATAATTCTTAAATAACCCCACAACAGGAAACCATTGTCTGTCAGGTGAAATCAGAATGAAAGTGATGCCCATTCAAGACCACTCAGATCACCTGGGCATTGCTCTCATCTTCTACCCTACATAGCAGTTGTGGAATCCAATGAAAGCCTGATGAGGAGGGGGAACTTCAGACTCATGAGGAAAAGTACTATCCAGAAGGGCAACAGTGCCAAGCCCTTTTCTCACTGCTTCCCTCCTGGTGTTGTTTGGCCCCCTCCCTTTGAAGAAGTCCTAGATCAGTTGGAGAAAATGCAGAGGAAGTGAAGAATTTAAATATACAAGTGTTTAAGAAATTGGAGGTGGTTACCCGGTAGACTGGAAGAATCATGGCTGTCATCAAATCTCTTCCCTGCTGAGACACGAGCTCTGTGAGAATGGGAATTTTCTTGCTCTTCACAATACTTCGAATACCTGGTACCATCCCCACAATATAATTAATGCTTAAAATATATAAGTGAATCAATTAATTAAAGAGTCTGCTGAATATCTGGTGGAGGAGGGATTACATGTCTTTTGTTTAGACCCAACGAGGAAGATCAGTTCCAAGGAGATAGATTTTGATTCTTGGATTTAAGAAAGTTCTCTGGCCCTAATATGGAACAGGCTACTAGGACAAACCCTTCACAACAGAGACTTGAACAGGATGGTGACAGGATGTCTCCACATGTGTCCCTAGAGCACCAGAAATGGAAAATAGGCTTCCATTTCTATGATGATTACAACTGATTTGTAGTAGCTACTTTTATTTTAATAAGAAATTGTGCTGGGATCAATTGCTAATGCTTGCCAGGAACTCGAGAATATCCTTTCAATATTCTTTGAAGCTGCAATGTTTGCACCTCTGTGAATCTGCACATTTCATCCAAACTAGAGATATTGAGTAACTTTAACTTCAGTGACCTAGTGTAGGGCAAATTAACTGACCAAGTTCAGCAAACCTTGTCTCTGTATTTGATCAGATCAGAACCATACTTAATTCTCTTATTTCGGAAGCATTATCCTACCTTGAATTGAAAGTCACTGAATTCTAGTTAAATCTAAAATTGTAGGGGTTTTGAGGATTCTTTGTGTTGTAGCTCTGGGCTTGGGTACTTTAAAGATAATGTCCAACTCCAGTTATAAGCAATCCTGGATGTCAGATTCACTGTGCTTACAGACATCTGTAGGGAGAAAACTCAGAATAAATCTGTCTAGATAGTAATGATGAATTACATTACTTCACAGCAATGGTAACCTTTGGAGGCAAAAGTCCAGACAGGTTGAGGAATGGAAAATGAGGACATGGGGTACCAATACCATTAGCTCCCATCAAAAGAAAAGGTCAAAGGAGGATTCAAATCAATAACCTGTTCAGAAAAAGCAGAGAATAAACCCATCCAACTTTGAGGAGGCGAGATTAAATATTTGCCATTGTTTCCTGCTTCTTCCACCAAAGGAGTTTATTAATTCACACTTAAAGCAATGCCCACCTTAGTTAACCGAGTTTCAAAAATAAATAATGGGCTTACTCATTAAAATAAAAGATCATGACCCTCACAAAATTTCCATTTCCTCCAACTTATATTTTATATCTTTATTTCAGAGATTTAACCCTAACTATAACAGACCCCACGTTTTATATAACTCAAGGGGTTACTAACATCTTACTCAAATTTTAGAGTATGTGTATCCACACATCCTCCTTACTGGTGAAATTGTTCATAACTAGCACTATATCCTTGAAAACACATTAAGAAATCCAGATTGATTTTTTTCATTTTTAATATCTTGCTGGATCCAGATATTCATTGAATACTGAATTATGTGCTAAATACTATTCTAAATATTTTTGTTAAATACTTCCTGGCATGACCCTTTTTGAAAAAGTAAAGTTGCTTGCTCCTCATTTTTTATTTTCCTTCAGAAAGCAAGAGACTTAAAGAGTTAAAATAATAGTAGATGATATTTGCTGATTGGTTTTACATCTCGTTTAATATTACAGCAATCTTCTGAGTAAATATTTTTCTTCTCATTCATTCAATGATAAATTAAGAGCTCAAAATTGAAAGAGGGTCTGTGACAGTTAAGCTAGATACCTGAAAAGGGTTTGAACTTAGGTCAATCCAAATCCTGTTCTTTTGTGGCTCTCCATTCTAGTGTTCCTCAATGTCCCATAGGATTTGCACATGAAAAGCTTCCTGCCAAAAGGTAAGTTTCATCATCTAACAGGGCTTCCAATGACATTGGCTATCTAATGGACCTACAGGCAGAATTGGCATTGGAGATGCTGGCTTCCCTTCCTTTCTATTCATGCATATTTCCAGGAGAAGAAATATATTTCACTTGCTGGGAGTAATAGACAAAATCTTAAAACTTACCCCTGTGGAAATTTTTCCCAGGCCACCTAAACTTGTGTCTACAAGTGTTTGTTTGTATGTTTCCTGTGAAACTTTCATGAGGGAGCAATTGTCTCCCTCATGGGACTCAAGGCAGTCTGTTACTAGAATGGAGATGGGTCTTCAAGAGCAATAACATTCAGCATAATGTAGCTACAGAACATAGTAAGTTAAACACAGAAAGACAAATTCTGAATGTTCTCTCTCATAGGTGCCAGCTAAAAAATGTTGACTTGTATATAGGGTAGTGATTACTGCAGGTTGGGAAGGGCTGGAGAAAGGAAGACTAGAAGGGAGTTGGGTAATACATACGAAAATACAAATAGAAGTCATAAGTTCTAGTGTTCTACAGCAGAGTTAGGAACTGTAGTTCAACACAACCTATTATGTATTTTATGAATAAATAGAAAGAGGAGTTTGACATCTCAGAAATTAAAGTAATGGTAAGGAGAGGGGAATGTTAATTACCCTGATTTGATCAGTATAGAGTGTATACGTGTGTTAAAATATTGCACCCTAGAAATATGAATGATTATTTTGTTAATCAAATTTTTAAATATTTAAGAAGATGGAAGTGCTATCTATACTGATTTGATCATCGCATCTTTTCAGGCATGTATCAAATTATGCTGTAGTCCATAAATACGTACAAATAAAGAATAAAAATACAACGAAAGATAACAGCTGGAGAATGCTGGAGTCAGCAGAAAGGATAGCCCTTTTCCCTTTTTATCCTTCAAGGCACCGTATGAAGCTCCCTTCTCCAAGAAATGTCCCTGACTGATGTTCAGTCTCTTTGGCTCTTCCAGTCAGCACCACATCACAATGGGAGAGTTGTCAGCCAGAGGAAGAGGCATGCAATAGTTAATATAATAATTACTCACGTACATTTTGATTGACAGTCTGTAGCGTGCCAAGCACTTCTGAGGAGAAGTAGGTACAATGGCGCCAGACAAGCTGTGTGCGTGGGCTGCCTGTGAGGAGATGGCCACAGCTGTGTTCGAGGCCATCTCACCATCACTCTACTGGCAACATTGCATAGAGGAGGCCACCAAGGGCTGTCCTGGGGTGTTGGGGAAACTTGGCAGAAACAGAAGTGTAAACAGCTACGATGTGCTTGGAGACCCCTAAGACTTTCAGTTTGACTGGACAGGGGTGAAGGTGATTGAGGGGTGAATTTACCTGCGTCTGGTGTGAGACGGAAGAGCCTTATGTGTATGCAGGCTCTGAGATCTGACGTTGATCTTGTCTGCATTGCAGTGTTGTCTTTTTAATCACTTGAATATCTGACTGCATTTCTCCCATTGTATTATAAAAGCAAAGGGGAAAGAGAAGTTAGAAAGGACTGATTATAGAAATAAGAAGCAAGTAAGTAATACAGTTCCCAAAGAAAAAAACTTTAAACAAAACACTGATCATTTTACCTTTAATTAAAGACTTAAGTGACAGGAGACTTCATAAGAATTACACCAAAGAGAATTCTGCCCCCCCCCCACCGTAGTGTTTCCAGGAGAAGAAGAGCCCTGGGAAAGAGACAGTGTTTATCAAATCCCTCTTTGTGTTCTTATTGCACAACATGGAATTAACAGTTCATAACATAGTTCTATTATGGCCATCTTTTATTTTGTAAATAATAAAATAATGATTGTATCTGGTGAGCCTGTCCCCATTAAAACTAAAACATTAGCACTATACCTACCTACCATGTGTTACTCTCTTTCTCCCCATCCATATTAACCATTTTTCTAACTCTCCTAATTCTTATTATATGAATCTCTTTAATTTTTAATTTTGGGGAGATTTGAGAGACTGATGTGTTATAGCTTTTTGTCTTCTTTTAATATACACTTTTACACATACAATACACAGATATCTATTGTAGGGATACATGTGTGCATGCACGCACACAGATAAGCATAATTGCTATATGGCAAAGTTTTAGTACTCTGTTGCACTGAGCTGTAGTTTATCCCTTTCATTGCTGATTACATTCCATTATGTGACTACACTAACAGGTATTTATCCATTCTGCTATCAATGGAGATTTGGACTTTTTCCTTAATGACCTACTATGTGAAGTCATCTCTGGGGTTTTTTTCTGCCTCCAATTTGAAATCTCCCATAAACTCTTTGAAGTGGGTATCATTATCTTCATTTTCAGGGTGAAGACCCTAAAATGCAGAGAGGATGACTGCTTTCCTGCTATCACATGGCCACACAGTAGCAGAGCCAGGATGTCAGGTGGGTTCTAGAAAATGCAAACCAGCTGTAGCACTTCCTCCTCTCCTGGACACTCAGCTTTCCACCCACTGTGCTGAAGCCCCAGAAGACTACCCTAGCTCTCTTTTCGTTTTTCTGAGCCCTTTTTATGAGTCACTGCTAGGGCAAAGAGGGGATTTCCTAAACTACCTCTGTCAGTAGATATCAAAACAACACATTCATTCACTCAGGCAATTTCATGGGTAGGCGTCGGTTATACTAAAAATTTTGGCCCAGCCAGTTGGGTGGGACTGCATTGACACAGCGGTCTACTCGAATGGATTTCCTCCTTTTCAGCCATTTAAGTCTCCACATAAGTAATAATCATAATCCTTTACTTGCAAACAGAACTATATCACTTCCAAAACTCTCTAGGATAGGGAAGGAAGTATTAGCCTCAATTTGAAGATCAAAAAACCAGGTATCATAAGAATGAAATGATTCAGCTAGTAAGTGGTAACTTGGGAAAAGGACTTCTCATCAAGGTCATCATGTTCTGCTCTTCTATACAAATGTTTCATTTATATATATATATGTGTGTGTGTGTATTATACATATTCAAATTTATATATTGTATAATATATATATTTATACAATTTATACTATATATTTATACAATGTATATAAATTTAAACTATATATAATACTATATATATATATCTACATTACTCTGATAGAGACTTGAAGAGAATCTACTAATCCAACATTTAGGACATTCTTCCAACATAATTTTCTTCACTACTAAAAGTTACATTATTTTTAATGGGAAAATACACATTTGGCTTTCTAACCCACATAATATTTGAAAAACACGATTTTGCTAAGTGACAGCCACAAGATAAGAAGGAAGTGGATGACTGTAGCCTGACATGGTCTGAAAGTGTTAGGCTTGGACCCTCCCTACAAATGTTCCTAACTGTTAAGAGCCTGGAGCTCCACTATTCCTCCATTTGTATCTGTATGGGTTTCCACCTTAAAGAGTTTTATGAAACTCTATCTTTATGAAAATCTAATGTAGATCCTATTAAGAAAAATAATTGAAAACTTAGCAAATTGTTTGTTAGCTATGTATTCTTTCAATATTACACTGAAATCCCTTGTCTAATAGGCCTATCCAAGAATTATTTCATCTTCTGTGTAATGTAGCGTTGTTTGACACACTATTTACTATTGTTTCAGGCCCAGACTCTGTGAAGAAACATTCTAACTTGTAGATATTATTCCCAGTACAGGTGCAAATTATTTTTGTTTGGAAGAAAAGTAACCACAAAGATGAAAGTTTTCTTTCCCTGAAGGAGATTAACCAGTTTTGTGTTTAATTTAGGAGTTTTATTCCACCTTCTTTCTTGGTGCACATATAAACACTATGGTTTTTTAAAAAATAATCTTTACTAAATTGCTCGTTTCTTCATTAATGAGTTTAATTATGGAAATATTCCCACTTTATATCCGTTTATAATTTTAAAGAAAAGATAACACTTTGACAGTCCCACTTTTAAATCAATAAATGAAAGTGTTCCAATTATTATGCTGCATAACCAATTACCCTAAAATTATGATGTTAAATAGCAACAATTTAATTGACTCGCAATATTGTGTGTTAGTTTTTTGGAAGGGCTCATTGTAAACTTGCTGCTTAGGATCATATATGGTTGAGGCTAAGACGTGATGGGGCTGAATGGGCAGGACAGGAAGGCTTGTTCACGTGGCTGCGTGTAGTGTTTGCTGGGCAATCAGCCTGACAATCACCAGAGACTTGTGCACAGCCTCCACTGCAGGGAGTTACCCTTAGGCAGTGGAGACACACTTCTAGGATGCTGGCTGGTTTCCCCCAGCACAGCACCTAAGAAAACCAAGTAGATGTGCATAACCTTTGCTGTTCTTGTCTGAAGTTCCAAACATCACTCCTGCTATAGCTCATTGGTTAAAAGATTCAAGGGTAGGGGACAGAGACCCCTCCTTTTTTGGGAAAAGCGTCACAGAATTGTTGGACTCTGTTTTAAAAATGGCATATGGGGGGTGGGCAGGGATTTAGCTCACTGGTTCTGCTGCCTGCCTCACAAGCTCAAGGTTCCGAGTTCAATCCCCGGTACTGAAAAAAAAAAAAAAAAAGCATATGGGAAAACAATTTAAACCTCACAATTAGAGAGAAAACTCACATCTGGGCTACTACTGTAGCAAAAAGGTGATTGGGGCAGGGAAGAAAGAGCAGAAAAGAGACAGAGGAGTCAAAATAAAAGGAGATTTTGTGCTAATTTTAGTTTAAAAATGATTAAGGCTCATTCTTCCAGGCTCATAGGAAGAGGGAATAGTATATTAAAAATAATTCAAATGAAAAACTGAAAAGGTTTGTTAGCTGACTGGCTGCAGTATACCCTATTAGCTCTGTAATAGGAGTGTGACACCATTTTTTTAAGTGTGACTGCTGTCCAAAGAAAACATTATGACAAATTTAATGTAAAAATTGAATTGACTTTTATGTGTGATTCTAGAAGCAGGCAACACTTTTCTGTGTGAGAATGAACAGATGTTCTTTTGAGCTGGGGAGAGGCAATTACTAGCTTTATAGTCAGAAAAGGGCTGAAGAGAGCAGCAATGTACTGGTCATTTCAAAGTGACTTTATTTATAGCGTTAAAAAGAGGGGACACCCTTATCATGCTGCTCAGGTAAATCACACCCCTCCTGACTGGTTGCTGTGAATTACTGTTTTGTTTTGGAAACTAGCCTGTTTCAGGGTTCAGTGTGATTCATGGCACCTGGCATGAGGATTCCATTCTGCTTTGGTTTGGTCTACTGGGAACTTATGTAGGAGTTCAATCCAAAATTCTGGCTTCCCATAACTTTGCTAACACTGCCAACAAATTTTAAGCCACATCCCTTTCCTTCTTCTTTACCTCTGAGTAAGTTGATAAGAAGGACCAGTATTCCCTCCTTTGCCTCCAGAAGGAAGGGAAAGCCACCTACAGGAACCATAACTCCAGCCATGCCTCGATCACCATAAAAACCCCACTGTTCCTGCTCTTTCAAGCCATTTTTGGACCTGCTTTGAAGTCACCCTTCTCTCCCCAAAAAGCCTCAGTATGTAATAAACCTTTCCATACCCTCTTGGCACATGTGGGTGATGTTATCGTTTTTGACATCCACACTACATTTTGGGTGGAGGATACATTCTGAATCTTCAGAGTGAAGTTCCAAATCATACTATATGTAGTTATTTTGGTTTCTGGATATGAAAGTCATAATAGCAGTTATTGCTTTCTACTTATACTATTCTGGCACTTTTTACATCTTAACTCATTTAATCTTCTTAAGAGTTCTGTGAGATAGAAACTATGATTATTATCCAGACTCTTGGTGAGTGTACCCAGCAGAGCTCAGGCAAAGAAAGGAATTTGTGTAGAGTGGCCAGTATAGTTGATGATGGGAGCTAGTGTTCAGATGCCAATAAATGGAAAGAGAAAAGCAGAAAGCTATGGACTCACATTCAGAACATGAGAGGAAGAGGAAGAGCCAGTCAACTGGTCTAAATGAACATGAACAGAGGTCTAAATGTTATGGAGTACCTAATTAGGTGTTGGTTGGATTAAATAATTGTTGTAATAAGTTTAAAGGTGGTCTGACTGTCTAGAACAGAGCCTGAAAGCCTAGACAAACCTTTTCAGATCGTTTCTCTTTGATCTGAAAAGACCCTTTGTCATATGATATCCTTTTCTCATTGCCCGATCATGAAGCAGTGGGCACCCCACTGTGGAGGGAATTCTGAACAGAGGTCTGTGGCATAGGGAAGCTCCCTTCCTTGGTAGGCAGAGAGGATCATTTGGGTGGAAGTTTGCACATTTACACAGAATTCCAGAAGGCTCTTGGTATGGTCTTGAGGCTGGACTTTCCTTTGGATGTTCAATGTTGTCACACCCTTCCTAATGACTACAGATGCTACAGCTGAAATCTGCTAGCAAAAAGAAGATCATGATTGTGTTACTGGAACTGCCCATGGGAACATTTTTGGGTCAGTGATCCAGGTTCTATACCAGTGATTAGATGATCAGAAAGGAAGAGTCATTTCAGACAAGCATGTGGCCTGTGGTTCTGCTGGTGGGTACTTTTAGGGCAGTTGGAAGGGCCTACGTGGAGCATATTAGCCAAGAATGACAATGAGAAAGTGGTATTGTCTCTTCTTTAAAACAATCCTCCCAGCTCTGAAGGGGCCTAAAACAGCAAGCGTGTTACAGAGCAGGAGGTGAAGGTGGGATTAGAAAGGAGCAGACTCTGAAGATGATCCCATGCATCACTGTCAGAAGCTAGGGCTACTGAGAATGGAGCTGCTCCTATATAGAAAACTCTCCTACCATTCCCTTGAGAGGTATTAGAAATAAAACCAGGCTTTTGGATTAGTTAAACAATTCAAAGGATGAAAACAACAGAGAGGGAAGAGCTAGAGCCAAGCTCATCTTAATCTTAAATAACAAAAATGTGACCTTAATGGCATTGAGTGTTGGGGAAGCAGGTCGTTCAGTGATGAGGACAGAGAAGGCAGACTTATAATTATCTTACTATCACCTTCTGAACACTCACTGTGCACACTGCTTTGCACTTTCCTGATACATAGATACTCAGTGTGTGATAACTGCAGTTAATAACATTATTATTAATATTTTGTACCAACATTATTATTAATATCATTGTTGTTTATAGTAGTTAAAACATTACTGAGTGGCCAAAAAAGTCCGAGTATACTAATTAACAGCCACCTGCTTTTTGAATCTCATTCCTTAAGTAAACTGCACAGAACAAGAAGAGCCATTGTTTGCGATGAGGAAGGAAAGGTTCCTGCAAAAGGCATCATCACAGCACAATGTTTTGCACCAGCTATCCTTCCTGCAGCTGGAACCTGGCAGAGCAGGACAGCACACCCCCCACCCTCTGGGATCATTACTCACTGCTCCCCTGATTAGTGGGAAGGTGGATGTGTTTGTTTTTATCT